ACACCAGTCCTGGACCTCCCCTGCCATCCCCCATCCTCCTTTCCTAGTGTTCTCCACTGTTTATATTTTTCTAAATAGAAAGAACCCCTCATTTTCCAGTTGCAAGTGGAGTTTCTCTGAGTAATGTAGATAAAGAGTAGGCAAAAATAAATAAATAAATAAATAAAGGGAAAACAGAGAAGGAAGGAAGGGGAAGAGTTATGAGATAAAGAAATAAGGAGGAAGAAAGAATAGAAAGAAGTGGGGAGGATAAAGAGGATAGAATAGGATTGGAAAGAAGGGGGAGTGGGAAAAGGAGGAGGAAAGAAGAGGAAAATGAGAAAGTGGTACAGAAGAGGAAGGTTGGGAGATACTGACAGCTTCACACCAAATGGCACTGTAGGTCCAACGGGGAAGTGGGCAGGGTGGCAGGGAGAGCTAGCAGCAGCCCCTTACTTTGACTTCTAGGTGCAGTGAGTAGTACTTGGGTCAGTGTCATTCCTCAGCTTTTAGGACTCACCTACCTCACTGCCAGGGCGATGCCCAAGTAAGGCAAATTTGCCAGTGATGTTCATACGGCTCTAACACGTCCAAGAGGTAGAGCTTAATGACCAATGCTCTGGAAATAAATACTACTCCTTCTCTTGATAATTGCTATTAGCAAAATGAAAAACAAAACAAAACAAAACCCAAAATCAAACACACAAATAACCCAGTGCTCCCAGCAACTCAATCATTAGCTTTTCTGGGCAGGGCCTCTGTCTCCTGCTATCTTGGTTATCCCACAGTGTTCAGTTCAGTGCAGTATACACAGTGGACATTTAGTAAATAGTTGGACAGCTGAGAAATCTTAACATGGAGTATTGTTTTGGTTGGTGGGAGTTGGCAGGGGTGGGGAGGTGGAAGGGGGAAGAATGTTTAACATGGCCTCTGGTGAGAAATCAGTCTCTGCTTTGTGGAGGAAAGGCTGAGGACAATATAAGACTCCTAGAGTTAAGTCTTATGTTATTTGTTATTAAAGAGGCAAGGTCTTAAGATGTGCTTTTTAACAGTCTTTAGTTTGGTTGTAATTTAAGATGACTTTTACAAATTAGATCCTAATCCTTGCAGACACAGATGGCTGTTACAGAATAGCCTTGCAAAAACACTAGTCATTCAACTTGAAAGAGCATTCAGAAAGGGATGAAGGGCCATTAAATCTCACCCCACCTCTGGCTCTAGTAGGCCTAATGAGTCCTGGGTGGGCTTCCTGGGTTTAGGTCTGGAATCTGGGTGGGCCTAGGGCATCTGTTCTCATTTGGAGCAGCCCCTCTAGTTCACTCTGGAACCAGAGACTTAGGGGAGTCTGAGGTGATTAACATTCAACAAGTTACTGAATGCTTATATGTGAGGCACCATGCTGGGAACTGCAGGGGACAGAGATATGAACATGATACAGATAGTGTCTGTAAACAGTTATAGAACAACAGGACAAGTGCTAAGACAGAGGAATGTACAAACTGTAATGGGTACATGTCGGGGGGGACATCTGTTTGGAAGAACAGGGAGGGCTTCACAGAGAGGATGACATTTGAGCTGGGCATTAAAAACATAAGCTCAAACAGGCCAGGTAAAGTGGTGAGAGTGGATATTCAAGGACGAGAGAACAGAGAGTACAAAAGCACAGAGGCATGAGAGCCTTTTGTAACTTTAGTGAATAGTGAGCAATCTCATGAGTTGGGCGTTCACATTCGCAGGTGATGGAAATAAGTGATGAGAGTGAGGATATAAGGCTGGAAAGGTAAGTATGGATCCAATTGTAAAGAGTTTCAGAAAGCATGCTAAGGGGTCTGCCCTTATTCTAGGGCAGTTGGGAACTACTAAGGTCCATAGGTAGTGCAGACAGTTTATGCTTGGCTACTAACTGAAAGGCTGGCAGTTCTAATCTGCCCAGCAGTGCCATGGAAGAAAGGCCTGGCGATCTACTCCAGTAAGATTATAGCCATTGAAAACCCTATGGAGAGCAGTTCTAGTCTGACACACATGGGGTCACCATGAGTGGAAACTGACTCTAAGGTAGTGAGTTTTTTAGGAAGTAGTGAAGAGTTTTTAAGCAAGAGAGTGAATGATCAGAGTGGGGCTTTAGAAAAATTACTCTGTGGCAGATAATTCCAGGTTGGCCAAGGACTATAAAATGGACCTATGATGCGCACTGGGGGGCTCTTGATTTCTCTCATAGGAGCAAAGCACTGTGGTTAGACTTTTTGTCCGGGGAACCGAGTCAAACTTGGTCTAAATTGGTCTCGGGATGCGAGTGAAGATAAAGATGGTGTCAGGTGTGAAAGGGACACTGGGAGAAGAGACTGTTAACCAGACTGAATAGTTTTTTACAGCAGTGTAAAAAAAGGATGAGTGATCTAAATCAAGAGTAAATTTTCTCTAAGACCAAGTGACTGACCCTCCATTCAGGGTTAACCCACACTAACATTTAATACAGTTTGCTCTGAAGGGGCTGAAGCTAGAGTTTGGTCAGCAGAGTTCAAGGCAGGCTGTAGCAGTCTAAGAACACTCCGCATTTCACTTTATAGTTCCCCAGCTTCTTTTCAACAGCAACTTTCCGCGGTCTGCATTTTTAGCCTGTGGGAAATGTCATTAATACTGATCATAAAACCCACCCTGGTAATTAAGTTTAAAAATTAATTTGAAAGAAAATAAAGTTCAATTTTAAAAGCCAGGAAGATCTTTAGATCTCTTCTGGTACTTCCATTTTCCAAGTCCAGAGAAGGGGAGTACATCAAACCAAGGGTTGTGGGGGGACTAATTTAGCTTCTAATTTTTTAAGTTCCCCAAGGTGAGATGTTCATCATAGAATTTAAAGTATGAAAACCAGGCCGATTTTGAGCCCCTTGATGATGGCTCATTTCTAAATGTTCAAGACTTTAAGAGTTTAAACTTGATGTCAGATTTAAGGTAGTTTCTTACCCGGATATATAGTCCATAGAGCACATGCATACGTGTGTTCCCTTTTGCATGTTTGTGCACTTTATATATGAATAAAGGGGAAGAGATTGTTGTAGGTGGCGCCGGTGAAAGAGGGGCCAATGCCAGCACCCGGGGTCCATGGTCTCCTAGGCTTAGATATAAGTGGCAGGATCCTCATCCCACTCAGAGGGGATTTGTGGCTGGTGGTGTACCTAAAAATGTATCACTGGTTTCTGGCTCTATCCTGCAAATCTGACAGTCAATATAAGGGACTAAGATAGCCTTCACCAAATCCTTGGTTTTGGTGTGCTAGATTACTAATCTAGTTTAGTAAAACTTATGCTACTAGATCATAATAGAATCAGAGAAGCTTAAGATTTACTATGTACCTTAGAGGTAAGTCCATCCAAACTTCATTCCATATAAGGCAGAAATGCCAAGAATGAATCCCTCCCTTTCCCCCTCAGCCTCCATCTTCTCCCCTCTCTCTATATATCAATTATTGCTGAAAAGGGCTCATTCAGTGGTGCTTGGTTATCTCTAATGATGGGAAAAATCACTACCTCACAATACAAGATATTCCTCTTTTTAGAAAACTCTTACATTAGGCTGTAATTTGCCTCCTACAACTTTCAACTCATTGGTCCTAGTTTTGTCCCTAGAGCTTCACAAAGTCAGATCCTTTTTTACATAGCAGGCCTTCAAGCAGTTAAAAACAACAATCATGTCTCCCATGGCCTTTCCTTCTCTAGAGGATAAGTTCCTCAAATGACATGATTTCTAGTTCTCTCATCTTCCTACCAGCCCTACTCTAGACACGCACTTGTTGCAGCATGGAGCCTAAAGGCTCTTTCAGAGAGAGTTTATTTTAGTGCAGAGTTGAATACAATGATTAAGTTATTCTCTTATTGTGATAATACAACTAAAAATGCAGCTAGCTTTGTTGTTGGCAGCCACAACACAATATTAATGTATATTCAGCTTAATTCAACTATAACCTCTGCTAAGCATGGTCTCTCCATCCCAAACCAGAGAAGCTGATTTTTCGAAGCCTAATGTATGAATCTCTCTCTGTCTTTCTATTCTTTCCTGTATAATATCTCCAGGTTCATTTTTGTCTCTGGTTTTAGCAGTTTAGGTTTTCTTGAATCCTATTTTTCACAATCCATAAGTCTGATAAAGTCGTCTTCATTTAAGTTGCTGATACATATGGTGAGTAGTAAAGGATTAAATACAGAGCCTCTAGGTTCTCTTCAAGGAGTATTGGTGGTACTATGGTTAAAAGCTAGGCTGCTAACTGAAAGGTAGGCGGTTTGAACCCACAAGCCACTCTACAGGAGAAAAGACCTGGCAATCTGCTCCTGTAAAGATTACAGCCTAGGAAAACCAATGAGGCAGTTCTACTTTGTCATACAGGTTGCTATGAGTCGGAACTGACTCGATGGCACACAACAACAGGTTCTTTCCAGGGATACAGCAATTTCTTAATCAACACTTCCTGGACAGTCTATTAATTCAGCAATGAATCTACCAAACTGTGGATCTATATCTCTCTACTTTGCCAATACTATGAGAGACTATCAAACACCATGCTGAAATACGGATATACGGTGAATACAGGTCACCTTTCCTGACTTCCCAGGCTAGTAAGCCTATCAAATAAAAAAATACTGTTAGTTTAGCATGACTTGCTCTTAGTGAACCTAAAATCATTCCTAAATCACCTTTGAAGAGTAGGCACTGACCTTGACTGAGCAGCATGCAGTTCCCAAGTGAGGTAAACCGAGATGAGATCCTGGGAAAACCTGTCTGAATACTGACATAGGGGGAACAGCTAGGAAGGAAGACCTAATACCTAATTTCTTACACAGACTACTGGGCATATGCCTTCTGGCTTGAGAAGCCATAATTTCCCTAAAGGCTGAGGAGAGAGTGGTGTGCAGAACAAAGAAGCGCTCCTGGGTGTGCTGTCTTGATGCTCCTTGTGTATCAAGGGACTACTTTGCCCAGCCCTAATGATGGGTTACCTCCCATTTGGGAGAAGGGGCATGGTAACTTACGTCTCTCCTAGGAAAGGTGCTCAGTAACTTGAACTCATCCCATGGAAATCCTTTGGAAGCTACAAAATCAAAGACAATCTGGAGTTTACTGCTGGCCAGGAAACGCCGCTCCAGGAACTCGCCACTGGGGGTCCGAATCCGCAGTTTGCTCACGGGCTCAGCATTTTCTTCCTTTGGCTCTGGAGGCAGGGCCTGCTCTAAGGAGAGCCGAATGGCCTAAGGAGGGCAAAAACAGGTGTTAAACTGTGGAATGGGTGGGACTGAAGGGGTGGAGGAGGGACAGGCTAGAAAAAAGCTGCTTATTTCTATGAACTCATCAAAAAGTCATTGCCCCAATTATTAACCAAGCCTAACGCTTGGATAATAGAATCATGTGTTTTTCATTTCTTATTATTAGCCCAATAGATAATTAATTAAAACAAATCCCATCTTGATGACACACATAGTATTAAATTGATAGGTAACACATAAAAAAGAAATTTAACTGTTTTACTGAAGGGCTTAGGTATTTGCGATTGAGAAAATAGGTATCAAATACCCAATTGCTTCCTTTCTATTGCATGAATTAAGGCTATCAGAAGCATTTACAAAAGATACAAACACACATATATACATACACACATACATAAATATATATATTTATATTTGAGAAAACACACATTCTCCAAGAAGAAATAACACACAAGAGTTTGTAGAATACTGGATAATATATTAGCATCAAAATAGATGGGAAAGAAATGGAAATATCAGGTTTATTGGAGGCAGGAAACTGGGTCCCATTTCTAGCCTTGCCATTAACTTGCTATAGATATAGTCAAGTCTCAGAATGATAGATTTCTGGACCTAGAGAAAGGAACAAACCTTTCATTTTACAGATAAGAATACAAACTCAAACAAGTGAGGTTAACAGGCTAGAGGTGGGCTTGAACCCAGGTTTCCCAGTTCCCAACCTACAGTATTAAATTGCTTCACATTCATGATATTCCATCTGAAGGAGGTTGGAAGCTGTCTGAGGCTGGAATCTATGGCAGAAATTCACTAAAATCTTCTTTGTCCCTAGCGCCCTGAGAGGCTCCGTAGGAAAGTCAGCATAGTATCAGCATGCCCTGCTGCACAGTCACATTCTGCTCCTGGCTACTTTAATACTTTCATGTTCCAAATCTGTCATCAATAGAAAATAAATTTTTTTTTTCTTTCCCAATTAATATACAACTATTATAACCTATGTGAGTGAGAGAAACTGGGACTTATATTCTCTAAAACCTCAACAACAATTTTCAAAATTAGTGTCACTCTTCCAACTGGGGGAAAAACATAAGAAACTGTATTAAATGCCTCTTGGGCTAAAGGGGGACTATAAATCAAAACTGTAGAATAACTAGAAGACAATGATTATTGAAACATTTCATATCACAATCTATGGGGTACATCTAAAGCAGTGCTCTGAGAAATAATTCATAGCCTTAAAATTCTTAAATCATTAAAAAAGAAAGAATAAAAATAAGTGAATTAAGAATTGGATTCAAAAAGCTAGTGGAAATAAACCAATAAAACAAATGGAAGGAAAGCTAAGAAAATAATTAGTAAAAAGCATAAAGGAATGAGTTAGAAACTAGAAAAACAAAACCAAACAAAAAAACAACTAATCAATAAACTTACACAGACGAAAAGAAACAAATATAAACGGTCAACTCTACAGAGTGAGGAAAAGAGGGTGGAAGTGGCGACAGCATTTTCTGAGTATGCCTTTTTAAATTTTTGACTTTTGAATTAGGTATATGTATTATTTGTTTAAAAATATTTAAAACAATCATCAGAAAAACAAAGTTTGCTCAAATACTAGTATAGGAAATAAACTGGTTAATTTCTGTGTCATTCAGGAGAATCTGGTTGGTTCTAATATTGAAGTATTAAAAAAAAAATTAAGAATGTCTGCTGTGTATAGAGAAAGCCAATCTCTTCTATGACTCTGATGGTCATCTTCCTTCTGGGGGCACCGGATGATATTACCTACATCACAGGGGATTACAAAGATGGGGATTATATACATGATATATGTAAAGTTCCCAGTGTGGTATCTGACACATAATAGGCTTCAGTCAGTGGCTGCTTTTGTTACAATGAAGAGAAGATCTACACAGAATATGAGACCTGGGAGGGATTTTACTGGTCAGATAGTATCACATGCTTATTTTTTATATGGGGAAACTGAGGTCCAGAAATGATGAGTGAGAAATATAATGTGCTTCAGCTGCATATTTCCAAATATTAAACTATTTTAGTAGCATTGTCATATATTGATAACCCAATGAATGGATGAAAACGTACATATCAAAATTAAATTCCTGTTGTAGTATGTCTATTATAGCATTCACCATACTGTATCAGAGTTATTTGTTTAATGTCTGGCTTTCCCACTAGTCTGCAAGCATCATAAGGGCATGGGACCATGTCTTACTTCTCATTCCAAGTATAGTACATAGCCCAGAGAGGATTCTCAATATGCATTTGGTAAGGGAATGAAGAAACTAACAAGTTAACTGAAATAATGCATGTGAAAGTGCTTAGTATGGTGATAAGCACATAGTAGGTACCCAATAAATGCTAAAAAAAATCTGAATCTCAAGCCCTCTACTTCTAGTAACCAAGAACTGACCATCCTGAGTCTGCTTTCTCTGAGTTCTGACTCTCTCCAGTACCAAATGTTCAGATTAATTTTCTACATATGTGTCCCTTAAGGGCAACCCATAAGACTTTCTTTTAGGAGTTAACTACCTCTTTGGATTAATTACATACATTTTCTAAACTATTAATGCAATCATTTCACTATTTCTCTCTAACATTAGTGGCTCTTTAAAATAATATCTTTAAGATTAAAAAACATTTTTCCTGATTATAAAAACAATATATATTCATTGCAAAAATAGACTAAATGATAAGAAAAAGATTAAAATTAATCTCTAGACCCACCACCAAGAGATAGTCACTGCTATTATTTTGGAGTGTTTATATCATTAATTTTTCTATGTACATTTTTATATAAGTATGTATTTTTAACCTTTTTTTTCACAATGTTTGAATGTGTTATACTGCATTAAGCTTTATCTTTTTTCCCTTGAAGTATGTGTTATGTAAGTGTTTTTATTGAAGTATAACATAAATATAAAGAAGTGCACAGATCTTAAGTATACAACTCGATAAATTTTCAGAAAGTGAACATCCGTATACAACTTGCCCCCTAATGAAGCATCTCACAAGTCCTTCTGCCCCCTTCCTGGAAACTACCTCTCCTCAAAGTTAACTACCATTCTGACTTCTAACATGGCAGTTTTACAAAACTTTAAATTAAATGTGATATCACGGTTAGGAACACAGGCTTTGGGATGACAGATGTAGGTTCAAATCCTGGCCCATAGGCAAATGATATGCTTTAAGAACTTCAGTTTCCCCATATAAGAAATAGGGTCAATAATATCTTCTTCAGAAGGTTCTTGTATAAAATGCTGTAATGTTTATAAAACACTTAGCAAGTGCTGACACATGATAAGCACTTCATTAATAAAAAGTGTCTAGCCTCGAACTTCATGCTGTACCTAACACTGTGTTCAGCAGGTGACAGATATTGTTGGTGTTATCATTATCATGATTCTTCCCCTTGCACCTACTTTAAATCAGAATTTAATGTGATATGTCCTGATTTTTCCTCCTCTTCTCCCTTTAATCCACCCGTCTGTTTGTGTTCTCTTTTGACATTTCCTTGTACAGTATAACAACAGATGCTACATTATGGTCTGAACTCAACCTATTATATTACAGAAGAATAAACAACAGTAGCTTATTACCCCATTCAATGTGCAGACAATGTCTGCTCCTCAATGTACCCAGTCTCCAGGGCTTCCCCTAAAATGAAAACAGACCTCCGCTACCCTACAATGACGAGATGTTAGGTAAGTCTGTAACCTTGGGATTTGAATACCTAACAGTTTTACTGGCCAAAAAGAACAAAAATACATCAGTAGCTTAGTTTCAAATATACTGACTAAAAGCAAAGGTCGTGTATAAGCAAATATTATTGTAAAACAATGGCATAAAGGACATCCATGCTCGAGCAGCAGTCATAGTAAACACCATTGTTAAACTTCAATTTGGTTTGCTAGACAAATATAGTATTTTATTTGCATTATTTTAGGTTTGTAATAAAACAAAGAAACCTGGTATAAATTGGAAATATGGACTGACCTTGGACTTTTTTTTTTCTAAAAAAAAATCTAGATATTCAAATCATTCACATTTGAGGGATGAAAAATAGGGACACTTTTTTGAAGTGAAATTAGGCAGTGAAGACCCAAACCATGCCAATTGCCGACGAGTAGATTCTGACTCATGGCAACCCCAAGTGTGTAAGGCTAGGGTCTTCTTTCTTTTTAAATAGTATTTTATTGTGTTTTCAGTGAAAGTTTACACAGTAAGTTAGGTTCCCATTTGACAGTTTCCACACAAAGTATTCAGTGACATTAGTTACATTTTTCACAATGCGTCAACATTCTTTTTAATTTTTTCTGGGTGTTCTGTTTCCAGTGCTCTAGTTTCTCTGCCCCCCACCTCCACCCCGCTTTATCTTCTTTGCTTTAGAGTAATTGTTGACCTTTTGGTCTCATATAGATTTTTTTTAATGGAGCACCATACTCATGGGCAATATCTTTTGTGTGCCAATCTGTTCTTTTGCTAAAAGGTGACCTCAGGGGATAGTTTTGGTTCAAGGTTTACAGAGTGTATCAGGGCAATAGTCTCAGGTAGTCCTCTAGTCTCAGCTGGTCCAATAAGTCTGGACTTTTTAAGAATTTGCAGAGTAGGGTTTTCAATGGTTGATTTATCAGACAGACACCCAGAGAAAACTGCTTCTACACACTATATTTTTTAAAGAGAAAGGAAAATATACTCTCTTTTAAACAACATTTATACCAATCTCTTTTGAAAAGAATCAAAGAGTGGCTTAATTTACACACACACACACACACACACACATTTGTACGTACTGTATTTTTACGCAAATGATGTGCGCCTTCTATGTTTGTTTGCCAACTGCATCCTCCCCCCATGAGGTATCTTCATAAGCAATACTATGCCAGTGTTTTTTTACTTGTTGCTGTAAAAAAATTAGCATAGCGTGTTTACAAAAATACCTCATGGGGGAGCGAGGAGGACACAGTTGCCAA